ATTCTTTAATGGTGATTTTATTAACAATTTTTTTAGTTTTAATTTTTTTTTTCAGTCTTCATTTTTGATTTGTAAAAATTCAAAATATTCATCTGATCACAATATCTTTCACTTTTGACTTTCTGGAGTGGTCAGGAAGATCTCCACCTTTATATGTACAACTATTTTATGCATGTTTTCTTCTGGTACTTTTACTGTTTTATTTTTTGTGACCACTTAATTATTTTATATTTTTTTCATTTAGTTTGGACTTGTAAATTGGGAGTTAATAAAATAAGGGTCTTGCTTCTTATTTGTTTATTTCTTGAGCCATGTTCATGAGCTTGATACATGCAGTTGCGTTGCTGAGGCGTCTCAACCCACTTCCACCAGACTGCAGTGCTGTGAGGGATTAAAGATGGTCACACATTTTTTTTTTCTTTTTTTTGCTAATCTCCTATTGAAAGGTGAAGTCTATTTTCTCTTTCCTTGGTTCTGGGCCTTTTCTAATCAGTAGGGCACAGAAGAAACAGTGCTCCATGACTTCTGAGGCTATCTCGTATGAATCCCTATACTTTCTGCCTAGATGTCATGAAATGGTTCTTCTTGGGACACACTTAAGAACTGAGGTGCCAAGGGCCTCTCATGCCACGTGGAGAGCACGTATGTTAACAATTTAGTCCACAGCTGAAGTTGAGCATCAAACAGCAAACAGCCAGCATTCTAGACCCTGAGCAAGCTGTGTTGGATGCTTCAGCTCGATCCATTCCACGCAACCATCCTGCTCACTCCTGGACACTGCATGGGACAGAGAAACTACTTAGTCAATGCACAGAATCATGAGAAATACTAAACTGTTATTTTAAAGCATCAGGTACTTGGCATATTATTTAATGATCACCACGTTGAAACATTGCTTGTCAAGTATGCTAATGATCTTCATGTTGCCAATCCATCAGTCACTTCTAAGTCTTATTTTGTGTCACCTCCCAATATCATTATTTTTTAAAACATGTTCTTCCCTTTTTTACACATATAGATCACAGTCTCATGTTTTCTTGCCTTGGATCATCTAAACAGTCTCCCAACTGGTGACTTTCCTTCCATTCCTGCCTCTTTATAATCTGTTCTCTAACTTCTGGGTAGATGGGTCTTTGAAAACATAACTCACATTCAATCTCTACCTTGCTTATTTATAGTGAATTCTTATTGCCTGAAGACAGAGACTCAACCCTTTCTCCCTCTATGGAATCTTACATGATCTGGCTCCTGTGATTCCCCTCTGACCTCATCTCATCTTGAGTCACATTCTTAAGGGAAACATGGGTTGTGACCCTTCAAGGGTCACACCTGTTCACCTGGTGGAATGCTGGCAGAATCCCCGGGATCCCTAACTCGTTGGTCTTGTGTTCTCAGACAGAACCATGGCAGCTTGGGATCTTGCCCACAGGCTGCTACATTTTTAAAACTTCTCACATTTCATTTATATAAAGGATTCTGCTATTAAAATACTGAAACCATAGCTCTACACCTCATTGTCTTCTATACTTCTGCAAATTGCTGAATTTGCATTATGTAACATGCATATGCAATGTCTTGGAGACAGGCTGAGGCCTGCAGGGTAATTATTGCTTTGAAGTTCCAGGAGTAGGGAATTCATTGCTTTGCATCATGAATACTAACCTTGGCGGCACACCATTCCATGAGAAATATGGATCTATAGAATTAAATCAAGCCACTTTGGCTAAAAAAAAAATGCTATAAAGTTGCTTAAAAATAAAAGAAAAACTAACTTTTTAAGCGTATTAAATCAGCAAGGTCGAAAGGAAAAGGTTCTTAATTGAGGAAACCAAAAGCAGCTTCATTAAGCACGTGTGAACTGAGTCATTAGGATTTCGAATCCCTTGCTAAAATATTCTAGTGAATTTCAGGAGGAAGATTTTCATGTGATCTACAGAAAGCTCCTAAGGCCTTGATGTTATTTAGGTCAATTCATTCATTCAGTCAATATTTATTAAAAGCTGTTTTGTGCCCAGCGGGGTCCTGTCGGCATGTCATGCCACACCATTCATAGGGCAGGCAGGATGTCCCCACACGAGGGGCTTATATTCAAGTGGAGTGGGAGTGGAGAGAGACACCACTTGGATGCTCCCGGAACATGGGCTTCTTCCCCACTGGGGCATCTGTCCCTCTGCTTGGAATACTCTCCTCCCTGATCTCTACATGGCTGGCCGCTTCCCTTCATTCAAGGACTTTTCACGGAAGTATCATTGCCTAAAATTATTTTGATTGCTTCTTAATTAATTGTCTGTTCTCTGGAACAAGGACCTAAGCAATCCTGGCCCAGGATGAGGACGAGCTCCTGGAGATGAGGACAGATGCACAGGGTAGTCCTGAGAGTTCCCCTGACTTCTTTCCACCAGCATTTCAGAAAGAGCACTGACTTGAAACTGCTCAGGCCTGCCCTGCCGCTTCCTCTCTGAGTGCTTTTGAACAGGTCATTCCACTTCCTGAGCTGTGGGTTTTCATCTGTAAAATAGCTGCGCAAATGGACCAGGGCAGAGAGGATGTGTATGTGAGACTATGCCCGTGTGTCTAGGAGGCGAGTGTGTGAGCGATCAGGGATCAGGTGTGTGTGCCTGTGTCTGCGTGTTTTGTGTGTCTGCAGTTGGAACGGGAATGGGCACGGCTTTGAGCCAACATGGAGAAACAATAATGAAGACCTTTCCTGAGGTTCTACTTTGTTCCAGGAGCCGAGGAGTTAATACTGATTTCATAAAAACAGTATCCTTTGCTGGAGAAGCACCTGGCAGCTTATCTTACTCTCTCCAGGATTCTTGTTTCTCCCTTGCAGTAAAATTTAAATTAACTTGCTTTGATGGTCTTGAGTCCACACGAGAGGCTACATGAGATAGAAATTGCTCACATTAGCAGAAAAGAAATAAAAAAAGCCAACTCAAATCCTATGTGAGCTGATACTTCCTAAGAGAACTTTAACTTTCCTTCTTGAATATTTTGCACAAATGGGAAGAAGCATGTGGAAACATTAGTGTTTGGCCCATGGAAACAGAATTCTGAGATAAGGACAGTAATGGATGACATTCATGCAGAGCTTAGAGCATGCTAAATAGTTTGCATGTGGTTTCTTGTGAGTTTAATACCCACAGTAATTGAATGAGGAGGCATAATTACCCTCATCTTCATTTTACCAATGAAGAGGCTGAGGTCTGAGCAGCTGCTCACAGTCATGCCTGGTGGAACTTACAGGTCTTGAGTGGTGGCCCAGAGGTGCTGGGCCAGGCAGGGAGAGAAGGGGAGGGCAGAAGCCTACTTGATTGCCTCCAGTTCTTGAATTCCCCAGATGAATCCATTGTTGAACATTTTCTAAGGTTTATAATCACAGTGGCTTCCTGAGAGATGCTATTGCTTTGCTAATTGACAAGAATGAATTTTTTTCTTTAGACAAAGATCCCAAAGGACCTGGTTTTGGAGAGGTCTGAGAACCAAGAACTTGGAAGGTTCTGAAATCTGCTAGCCAAGGCCATGGACAGGCTGGGGTCAGTACCAGCCACCTTTGAAGATACCTCTGGCTCATATGTTGGCCAGTTGTCCAAAGATCACATGGTGGAAGGCTTTGGCATAGTGACTCTGGACACAGGAGAAGTCTTTTTCTTAAAACCAGGTTTAGAGAGGTACATTTTTTCCTCTGTGTAAACTGAAAGATTTTGGCATTTTCAGGAAATCTAAAATACATAGGTTCCAGCTGCCACTTCAAGAGGTCACTCTACCCCCGCAACTCCCAGTTATAATGATGAGGAGGAGGAGGGGGAGGAGGGGCAGCTTGTTGGGTCTCATTGGAAGGCTGAGGGGGATCTTAAGTGTCCCCAAAGGACATATGTTCAGGGCTTGGTGTCCAGTCATGGTGCTCTTGGCAGGGGGTGGAACTTTGAGGAGGTGGGGCCCAGTGGGAAGGAGCCAGGTCCCTGGGTTGTGTCTTGTTGGGGATATTGGGACCTTGGCTTCTTCTCCTCTTTCTGCTTTGGGCTGCCATGAGGTGGACAATCTTCCTCGGCTGTGTGCTCCAGCTGTGCTGAGCTGCACAGGCCAAAGTCCCTGGGCCAAGTAACCATGGGCTGAAACTTCTGAGTCTGTGAGCCAGAATAGATCTTTCCTAAGTTGATTGTTTCAGGGACTGTTGAGAGCCACAGCCAAAGGGGCCCCAGCAAACTTCCAGCTGCCAGCAAACTTCCAGCTGCCGGCTGATGATTGGCTCACAGTGGCCCCAGCAAC